ATCTATCTATCTATCTATCTATCTATCTATCTATCTATCTATCTATCATTTTATAGGGCCACACATCTCACAAGGAAATGACTTTGGGTGGCATACAACAAAACCGAAACAATAAAGTTTTTCTTGGCTAGCTCTTCATTTCCTTTGTAAAGCTATGTTATAAAATATAAAGGATTAAAATGTTTTATCCTTATGGACTGTTTTCAGGTTTGCCCATTTTTCAGATCCCTCCTTTATTTATTTTTTTCCAGGTCACCGTAGCCTAACCACCTTCTTTCAAGCCATGATGTACGGAATGGGGAGGGAGCAGAAAAAAGAGCCAAGAACAGCCAAATCCAAAAATTCCTAAAATAGGAATTGATTGCGGAGCATCTTCAAGAGGAGTGAAATAGACTATCCTTCCCCCTAATTGGATTAAGCCATGCTTGGGGTTCATACAATCCAACGAACTCTATAGGGACCAAGGTCAGACCTCAATTCAGCTCAGTACGTACAGTACTGAAATTGAGGGCATTCCACCTGCAGTTAACCCAGTTAAATGGCAACGTGGTGTGAACGCGGCCAGCCTGCAAGAGAGAAAGCATTCCCCAACCAGGTAACCTCAAAGCATGCTGAATTATGATCCCCTCTCTCTCACACCCATGCACACCCACAGGCATCCTGGATAAGGTCGATAGGAGTCATGATCCCATGCATCTTGCAGGCATTAGTTGAGGGGTGGAAGAGGACTACTTAACATATAATGGTCCGATGTACGGCTGTTGTGTGCAACTACCCTTTTAGACTGCCTGGTGCAGAGACCCTTGGAGAGGACCCTGTGAGGTGCTAGTGGACAATCCTGTTCTTCCTCCCTCCCCTCAACAACCTGGCATGTTTTCCACCCTAATAAAACCACCCAGGGCATTGATTAACCGGAAAAGCCAAACGCCAAGTCACTTCTACAGAAAATTGTATGGATGGATGGATATATGCACCAGGTTCCCAGGAGTTGGGCTCCAGCCCAAAGAGACTTCAGTGTATGGAATCCCAAGATCCACCATGTGGTACAGAAGCCAAGACTTCTCAATGTCAAGGAACCACACATTTGTGCCAGAACTGACTGGGGGGGCTGGGGGACCGAGGGGACTTCAACTGCCAGAATTCTCTAGGGCTAGCTGGGGAATTCTGGGAGTTGAAGTCCACCTATCTTAAAATTGACAAGGATGAGAAACACTAGTGTAAGAATTTGCCTATATAGGTAGGCCTCGACTTACAACAGTTCATTTAGTGATCAAAGTTACAAGGGCACTGAAAAAAAGGGAGCTATGACCGCTTTTCACACTTATGACCATTGCAGCACCCCCATGGTCACATGATCAAAATTCAGGCGCTTGGCAACTGACTTGTGTTTATGACGGTTGCGGTGTCCCAGGATTATGGGTTCTGCTTTTGCAGCCTTCTGACAAGCCAAGTCACCGGGGATTGCAGATTCACTTAACAAGCATGTTATTAATTTAACAAATGCAACGATTGACTTAACTCTGGCAAGAAAAGTTGTAAAATGGGGCAAACTCACTTAATGAATACTTAGCGACATAAATTTGGGATTCAGTTGTGGCCAGAAGCCGAGGAGTACCTATAATGCATTTTAGCAATACAATTTACTCAAGCTTGTGTTCCCTTTGTTAAAAGAACCGGGTGACACAAATCTTTGCGGATCCACTTAAAATCTCCCAGAGGGTTTTTGCTCTCCAGCCCCAATTCACATAGTTTCAAATGATACTTATGGAAATAAAGGTAGTCCTCGACTTACAACAGTTCGTTTAGTGTCCATTCAAAGTTACAACAGCAGTGGCAAAAGTGAGTTATGACCATTTTTCACTGTTACGACCTTTCCAGCATCTCCATATTCATGTGGTTCAAAATTCAGATGCTTGGCAATTGGTTCACACTTATGACCGTTGCTGTGTCCCCAAGGTCACATGATTCCCTATTGAGACTTTCTGACAAGTGAAATAAATGGGGAATCCAGATTCACTTAATAACTGGTTCCGAACTGATCAACTGCCATGATTCACTTAACAACTGAGTCAAGGAAGGTCTCAATTGTGGTCGTAAGTTGAGGACTATGCCTATGTCTATTTGTTCAAGTGATTGCTACTTTATTGGAAACTGGGTTTGATCAAACCTTCTCATAACAGTGCGTGATGGTTTAATTTGGGGTTCCTTGACTTGAGCCCAGAATTTCCATTGAGAACCAAGGCAGTTGTTAAGTGGGTTATGCCTCTTTTGACCTTTCTTGCCATGGTTGTAAAGTGAATCATTGCAGATGTTAAGTGAACCCTGTGGTTGTTAAGTGAATCCCGAGCCCAGGACGGTGCAACTGTCATAAATACATGCTAGTTGCCAAGTGCTGAATTTTGATCATGTGACCATGGGAATACTGCAATTGTTGTTAAGCGTGAAAATCGGTCATAAGGTATTAATGGCACTTTCAGTGCTGTTGCAACTTTGAACGGTCACTAAACAAATGATTGTAAGTCAAGAATTAGCTGTATTGTTTGGAAAACACTGGGAGATGGACTTGTCAAACTCCTGTTAAATTGATAAATTAAATCCAATATAGCAGCTTCAGGAAAGAAGACACAAGCATAACAGGGAACAATTTGTCTCTGGCAACGGCCATTTCAGCTAGAATGAACAGCCTTTTGGGACAAAGTATCCTTGTTCCTTTAATGCAAGAATCAATTCCCATCAATCCTTAAGTAGATAATAATTTTGATAAAATTTATGGCATTCCACAACAATTCCGGATGCCATTGGAGAAGGAAATCCTCTGTTGTTATTAGGAACCAGCAATTGCCCCACCACCCCCCTTACTGACTCTGGCTGAGGCCCCACCCCAAACATTAAAATA